TTCAAACTATTAAGTAATATGTCTGTTGACAGGTACACCACTGTTACAGACAGTGACATATGATATGAAAAATTATGATACGAAATGAAAACATTGTACAGACGGACTTGATTAAACAGTTTTTAACAACTTGTAATGATTTACCTGGCCTTCTTGGCGTCCTAAGGCCATTCCTTTGACATCATCCTAACACTGCATGTCGTAGAGAAATTTAAAGTTCCACATAGTTTACATTTTAAACGAGAAACTTTAACTTAATTTTTGGTCTAGCAGATGCTCTTCAACCTACTTCCGGTTCATGGTAATAATTAATTTCCGGATCTTATCGGTATTTTCCGGGAAAATAATAATTCACTGAAATGTGTTTTCAGAGACATATTAATACTTCTTTTCCATAATTTGATCAGTTCTTTGTTAATATCCCACAAATTTCTACCAACCTGGTGTCTACAGTTGAAGAATTTTTAAATTTCTTAGAGGCATTTTCAGTCCTAATAATTTATCAAATCAAGGATTTCAATAGTAAGAAAATCTTACTATACAAATCCTTGATCAAATTGACTAGGCCTAATGCTTTTTATATTTTAGCTGGGAACAGTATATATATATATGTTCCTGATTTTAGTTAGTATACTTTTTTTTACTGAAGTTTCAAGAAAAGAGCATTTTTCAAAGAATTGAATTAAATTACTGGTTTATTAAAATGGGGGGTGCATTCTTTATTAAAAACATACATTTCATGTATCTGAATATACAAATTACCAGAGGCGGATTTAGGGGGCCCGGCCCCCCTTATGGAGCTCCCCTTATGGAGCTTCATTTATTGTTAATCTAGACTTTTAACCAGTTCCACTACAAGTTTTGTCTAGTTTAAGGGGGCTCCCTTGCCCCCTTTTCAAAATCCTGTATCCGCATCTGATTACATATAAGTACTGTTAAAAATGAAATAAAATGAGGAATAAACTTTATAAATTAATGCATTTTGCTTAGTTTAGACCAGGTAATTATTAGTTTTAAATTTTCAATTTACCTCAAGTGAATCCCTGAAAATTGTGACCCAATTATTGATTAAATACTGATCAATATATATATATATGGTCCGGGTACACAGTTATCGTCCTTTGATTTTCGTTGTCCACGAATATAGTCCCTAGTGTGGACAGTGTGTTACTTGTCGATTTTTTTTATACCCCTTCCGAATTTATTTCTCCATGTTTTATGACTCAAATAGTAAGTAGGGGGGTGAAATGACACTGTAAAAAAATTTGGGTCATGAATTTTAAAGTAAAGTAGTGATTTGGTCCAGCTGAAAAATGTTAAAAATTAGCACATCGGAAGCTGTCAAAAGATTTGAAGACCCCCTTAGCATGAAATTGTCCATATTTTGAGTTAGAGCCGATGAAGTTTTCTATAATTTTGATATAATTTGTCCCAAAAGTAGTACAACACACTGTAAAAATATTATTGAGAAAGTGCAGGTGGGATTTTTTTAATTTCCATTTATTGTCTAAAAGAAATGCACTACGAAATAACTGTGTACTCGGACCTAAGAGGTGAAATCAGGAAATATAGAATCTGTACTTTGGCAACTTCCCTGAATGATTTGATGGTGTCAATTTATCAAATAGCATAAAACTAAAGGATTTAAACTTTTATTTGATAGAATTTCTGCAAAAATGACCAATTTTGGCATTTTATGGTCAAAATAAGCATTTCATAGCTTTTTCAATTTTGATGCATAAGTGGCATTCTGACTTTCTATCTGACAGGTTTTTATGTGTCAATATTTGTGTTTCTATGTTTCAATCCAGTTGTATTACTCATTTGTGAACTCTGAATCTACAGAAAAGAAGATTATCTCAGACAATATGCGCAAAATGTGTTGTATATATGATCATCGTCTAACGCCCTGTTTGGATCAAGTTAAATGTGAGGAGCTTGGAACATAAAAGTTGAAGTCCATTATAAAGACCTCACTAAATTTGTATAAAAAGCACTTAACAATGTCTTTTGTACCTGTTTTATGTCACAAAATACCTTTCTTTTCTTCTGTAGGATAGCAAGTGGTTCAAATATAAGCCTGTTGAGACTAAAATTGCATGCATGTTTTTCACTAAAAAGTGAAAAATCTTTGTATCAGACCATACTGTCTGCAAAAAAAGTTGAATGCAAGAGTCTTTTTGTGCTCAGATTTATTGTATCATGTCACCTGAGTATAGAAATGATAGAAAAGACACAAAATTTTATTTCATATAGCTTCAATATGCATTTTTAAATGTAAATATGTGATACGGCCTAAATTGACCCTAAATTATTTTCAGTCTTACTTGGCCTAAGACCCTTTTAAGCTAATGTGATATGTTATTTGTAAGTTTTCTTTCCATTTAAAGTACATTAAATACATATGTAAGGATTATTTATAACCAAAAAGCTTTACAAATTTAAAATTGCTGGAAAATATTACATCTTCATATAAGGCCCCCCTTCATTGGAAAACCTCCATTTTTAGCCACAGGCTCATATAAATTTGACTTTTTAATAATTATGATAAGTCTGATGAATCAAATGAGTACTCTATTGCTTTTAATACATAATATATTATATATTAAGGCATTTCAAAAGTATTTTTTTGCAATATTTTAATTTTTTAAGCCTCAATTGTTGATAGTTGAAAATTTTCAATTTTAACGTCTAAATTTAACACTCAAAGTTCAATATAGAATTAGTCATATTGTCTATAATATATATCCTATTGCCATGAAACTTTGTAAGCAGTCTTATAATTTAATAAGCTTTAGTCATACCAAGTTTCATTAAGATTGGTCAACTTTTTCTACCCTATTAGGTCCGGGTACACAGTTATCGTCCTTTGATTTTCGTTGTCCACGAATATAGTCCCTAGTGTGGACAGTGTGTTACTTGTCGATTTTTTTTATACCCCTTCCGAATTTATTTCTCCATGTTTTATGACTCAAATAGTAAGTAGGGGGGTGAAATGACACTGTAAAAAAATTTGGGTCATGAATTTTAAAGTAAAGTAGTGATTTGGTCCAGCTGAAAAATGTTAAAAATTAGCACATCGGAAGCTGTCAAAAGATTTGAAGACCCCCTTAGCATGAAATTGTCCATATTTTGAGTTAGAGCCGATGAAGTTTTCTATAATTTTGATATAATTTGTCCCAAAAGTAGTACAACACACTGTAAAAATATTATTGAGAAAGCGCAGGTGGGATTTTTTTAATTTCCATTTATTGTCTAAAAGAAATGCACTACGAAATAACTGTGTACTCGGACCATATACAGAGACATATAACAAGAATAATTCAGTCCTTCCCCATAATCGATCTCTCCTACTTGTGAGTAATTGTAGATAAGTGGAATATAACGACTGTATTATTCGGGTTAAGAGACATATAATACATATTCAATTTGTATTATATGTTTTTGATATATAAAACTTATTTCATATGTAAAATAAACCCCACTTGCATTCTTCTGTTTTTCAGATTTAAAAAAAAATTACATATGATTAATCCATTATAATTCAGGGGCCTCGGTGGCCGAGTGGTCTAAGTAGTTACTACTGTAATTACTAGCCAGTCAACACTGAGGTTGTGAGTTCGAACCCCGCTCGTGCAGGTGCACTCGACTCCAATCTTAATTGACTAGGATTGTCAGTTTTCCTATCGTAGGTCGGTAGTTTTCTCCGGGCACTCCGGCTTCCTCCACCAATAAAAACTGGCCGCCACGAATAGCCCAAAAGCGGTGCTAAAAATTGGACCCCCCTTTCAAACTTTTTTAATCCCCATTTGGAGCATTAACCATCAAACTCAATCACAGTCTTTCCTTTGTAGTATGGAACCTTGTAGTACAATTTTAGAGAGATCCATACACCATTTCACAAGTTATTGTCTGGAAACTAGAAAAATGCTTATTTGGGCCTCTTTTTTGCCCCTAATTCTCAAACTGTTGGGACCATAACCCCCCCAAAATCAATCCCAACTTTTCTTTTGTGGTTATATACCTTGTGTTTAAATTTCATAGATTTCTCTTAACTTATACCAAAGTTATTGTCCGGAAACCATATGTCTTCGGACGACACTGACGACGACAACGATGTGATACCAATATACGACCGCAAAAATTTTGCGGTCGTATAAGATTTGTCTACGTGAATTTAATTCTTTTATTAAAGAGGGACATTCAAACTCGAAAATCGAAAATAAAGTGACAACGCCATGGCCAACGTACAATAGGTTTAACAACAACAAGTCCCAAATATGATCAAAACATTAGTATACTAATGTGACGCCAATTGTGGAAATATGTATATGATAACTAGTACTTTTATTTCTGTATATCTAGTTTTTTATTGCTTTTGCAATTTACAAAATTAATTTTTCGTCAGATATTTTAAATTTATTATTTTCTAGATCCATGCCCAACAGCCCCCATGCTATGTTAATGTTTATTCATAATAAAATGGTTACAGTCTCAAATGACCAGGTTGCAATATTTGTGACTAAATTTTGCTGAAAAATTGCTAAGTTCCAAAGTCAGGAAAAATGAGAAAAAAATCCTCAAACAATTCAATAAAAGCAGGTGCACAACTTCAACAATAGGCATTTTCATGTGAAGTTTTAGGGATCTGGTTGAAAACTGTAGGAGTTGATGACACGAAACCTTTACCCTCTTTCGTAAATTTTGCTGAAAAATTACAAAGTTTCCAAGCCTGGGAAAATGAGAAAAAAATTGTCAAACAATTCCATTATGGCAGGTGCACATCTTCGATATATGTGCAATCTCCTGTGAAGTTTCAGGGATCTGGGTTGAAAACTGCAGGAGGAGTTGACAAATTAGATATCCACTTTCCCCTGACCACCTGTCTGACATCACTGTACTATACGCTGGTTTTAAACTTCCTCCAACCCGCCATTAAAACAACTGTATTTGATTAATTTCAACTACACTTGAAAGAAAAATGATACAAGCTGCTCAAATGAAGAAAACAGTGTTGGGTTTTTTGTGGTACTTTTTTTTATTAAAAATCTTATATGACTGAATTAACACATGAAAGATAGTATGAAATAATATCTAATTGTATAAAAACAATAACATTATATGGCATAAATGTCTAAATCTATGGATTCACTTTACAGGGTGGATATCAATTTCAGTACATTTAAAGAACTCCATACAAATATCTATATTTAATTTTTTTGCATTCATATACATGGCTGACAAAAATGGTATCCAACAATAAAAGGAATCCATATATATTAACAAACAACAATATTAATATGTTCTCAATAAACATGCATTTCAATTGTCAAAACAAATTCTAAATCATCTAATTGATCATATTTAAAATCAATACATCCATTAATGATTATCTGTTACATGTACTGTACAGTCAAACATGTGATTTTATCCTACATTTTTCATAGGATCAAATATTCATAGCCATTATTGTCATTTAAGGAGGTATTACGCTAAAGGCTACAAGAAACTATTTTTCTCTCATAAAATAGCCAAATAAGTAATCAAAACTACAGTTGACCGATTGAAAATGTTGGTATAAACCTGATCAAAAAGTTTATAATATTCTTAGTCTTCAATTAGTACAAAATTGGCAATTTTTTACCTTTTAAGTACATTTTCATGGTTAAAAGCAAGTTTACAATTAATAAATTGCCTAGTTGCAAAATTTAATTATCTAACCAAAAATTTAAATTTCTGACCTGACAAATCACTTTAAGAACATAGTTTACTTCATTGTATATGAAATGTAATCACATAAAAAGTTTTTTGCCGCAGGAATGTATTTAAAGCAACTGGTGGAACTGTGAGCATAATTTTCAATGGTATATCAAAGATAAAGTTTGCAGACATTAATCAAAACAAAACTCAAAGTTAACATTCACAACTCAAGTTTCACTTCTGTAATAAATAACTATTTTATACATACATGTATATGTTATAATACCTGAGTCAAGAAAATGAGAACCACTAATACTTGCTATAACAAGTTGCACATGTTGTTGTGCTAAGCATACACCACTACAAATATATAGTACTGAATAACAGAAAGTTGGTGTCAGATAGATTTGAAAAGCATTCTAACTTTACAACTCATAACAGCCAAGCTGCTGACCAAACATGAAGTCATTTTGTTGAGTAGTAGAGAAGGAATGTGTGACGAAAATGTTAAGTTTATTTCAAAATATTGAAAAATTTAGATAGGAAGTAGGTGTCCTACTGATCTAAATAGTGCTCACACATTACAACCCATCACAGTCAAGCTGATGTCAAACCAAATTCCAAGTCATTCTGTTTACCAGTAAGTGAGAAAAGTGTGACAAAAATATTTATTGGACAAAAACACTGAAAAATACTAAATTATCAGCTAACAGGAAAGGAGGGAGTAGGTGTCTGGCATATCTGAAAAGTGCTCACATCTTACAACTAATCTCTGTCAAGCTGTTGACCAATTATGAAGTCATTCTGTTCAGTTGTACCTGAGAAATGTGTGAAAAAAATATTTGTTGGACAAACAGACTGACAAGGTGAAATCATTCCAAGAGGGTGTAAAAATATTGATCAACAATCTAAAACACATTAAATGTGTAAATAAAAAAATCGGAAAAGTTTATATTTAACAGTATAAAATACTTAAAAATGTACTGGGTTTATTCATTCTATAATGTCTAAATTCACAAGTATTTCAACAAGACTTTCACCAGACAACAAAAGTTAACACTTAGATTTTGGTCTTATAGTTTTCTTACTGGAGCACTGAAAATTTACTTCTGCTGCTTGACTTTTAAAGCCTAATTTCACATGGTGAATACAAAGTAAAATATACACACCTAATATATAGGATTTTTCAGAGTTAAAATTTGAAGTGGCAGGTCATAAATGTCATAATGGAGTCAACATGATGTTTCAATGTAATCATTATAAACTACCATTGTATTTGGTGCACAGCCAGTTGATTTAGATATATATAGTAGCGTGCCATTACAAAACATCATTACAGTGTATATAGATAACTGACAGACAAGAGGGTTTTTAACCCAAATTCCAGTGTTTTTTTTATTACAAGTCCCATTTAATGGATCAATATATATATAAATATAAATACATTTTTAAGTCAGTTAGACTGAATAAAGTGTGAATATCTAAATATTTAATCAATGATTAAGTTGCCAGTTTAATAGCTGCATCCTCACATCTCTGTTTGCCAAGTCTGACAATGTCCTCTGCTAAGTCATCAAGTGTTGTATACCGGCTTTTTTCAAAACTAAATATATCAGAGATGAACCCTAACACTAAATCCTACAACAAAAGAAATAACAGTGTTTTACTGGTTATTACAATTCTTACTGGAAACTTCCAGAGAAGCAAGTTAAAGTAATTTTATTGTAGTATCTGTTGAATAAATAAAACAAATTGATTTGGGTTTTTGTATCACCAATAAATACACCACATCCATTCTGGGGAACTGGGTATTTTAACATCAGAGAATTTACCAAAAATAAAATAATCTCTTATAACTACAATGTACATTTTTTTTAAAAGATAATTTTTAAACTGTGAAAGAAAATTTCCATTTCCTCCAAATGTTTCATTTTATGCATAGATATCTGTTTTCTTTGAAAAAAGATAATTTTAAAACTATGAAAGATAAATGGGGAATGTGTCCATGGGACACAGATGATGCCCCTGCTTGTCTCGTATAAAGTTATAAAAGGCATAACTTAAAAACCGTAAAAGTGACGCTTCCCAAATTTGTACTTGATCTGAATTTAGTGATAATAACAATTGTGTATAAGTTTCATAACATTTGGTTGAGGCAAACTTAAGTTAGAGAACGGAAACGAAAAATTCAGCAATTTTTCCATTTGTAAAGGGGCATAACTCTAGAACGGTTAAAGTGAAGTCTTGTAATGGCTTATGCAACAATAAGAGAGACACCCCCAAAAAACAAACTTGATCTGTATTTTGTAGTAATAAGCATTGTGTATAAGTTTCATAACATTTGGTTGAGGCTAACTTAAGTTAGAGAACGAAACGAAAAAATTCAGCAATTTTTCCATTTGTAAAGGGGCATAACTCTAGAACAGTTAAAGTAAAGTCTTGTAATGGCTAATGCAACAATTTGATAACAAATGGCTGGATAAAAAAAAAAATGTTATAAAGTTACATACAAGTACAAAATGTATCTTGAACAAATATATTAATGGAAGTGATTCATAAAATACTTTGGAGTAATTCTAAGTATTGTATTGGAAAAGGAAAAGCTTGAGTATTTAGTTATGTTTCAACTATGGCTGGATGATCTTAAGGGTTTATAGTTTGGTAAATATTCAGGAAGTTGCAGGAATTTATGCCTTTAAAAGAAAATTTTGACTATTTTGTTTTAAACTATGATAAAAATAAATGGGGAATGTGTCCCTGGGACACAGATGATGCCCCCGCTTGCATATAACATTATAAAGGAATATAACTCAAGAACTGTAAAAGTGACGCTACCCAAATTTGTACTTGATCTGAGTTTTGTGGTAATAAGCATTGTTCATAAGTTTCATAACATTTGTTTGAGGCAAACTAAAGTTAGAGAACAGAAACAAATATTTCAGGAATTTTTCCATTTGTAAAGGGGCATAACTCTAGAACGGTAAAAGTGACGCCACCAAAATTGAAACTTGATCTGTGTTTTGTGAAAATAAGCATTGTGTATAAGTTTCATAACATTTGGTTGAGACAAACTAAAGTTTAGAGAACGGAAACATAAAATTCAGCAATTTTTCCATTTGTAAAGGGGCATAACTCTAGAATGGTAAAATTAACACCACTAAAATTGAAAATATGATCTGTGTTTTGTGGTAATAAGCATTGTGTATAAGTTTCATAACATTTGGTTGAGGCAAACTAAAGTTAGAGAACAGAAACGAAAAATTCAGCAATTATCCATTTGTAAAGGGGCATAACTCTAGAACGGTAAAAGTGAGGCCACCAAAATTCAAACTTGATCTGTGTTTTGTGGTAATAAGCGTTGTGTATAAGGTTCATAACATTTGGTCGAGGCAAACTAAAGTTAGAGAACGGAAACCAATTTTGGGACGTACGTACATTCGTACATACAGACGGACAAGGGTAAAACTTAATGCCCCCTCCGCTATGGCGGGTGCATAAAAATATTAACAGCAAAATGATCCGCAATACAAGATTTACAGGTGAACTGTGAGCTATTTCTCAATAATGAGCCCCAAAATTTTATAATGACAGGACAATTTTCAGTTTTTCATTGTTTTTGCCTATTATCTTGAAAACTATAATCAGGATAATAGATAGGTAGAAACTGTAAAAACTCAGCAAAAAAGATCTTCAAAAGCACCAATATAACTAAAACCAGTGATTGACACCTTGATAGGAGTAAATATTGACTTTAAATGACAACTTTTACTGTTTATTTGAGTTGAATCCCTTTAAACTTTTTTAAATATTTCTTTAAAATATACCTAGAATGTCTAAGGAGTAACTGAATATTTAGTATTCTTATAAAAATGTCAAAAATTGAATCATAAAATCTTACTTTAAAATAGAAACATATTTCCTTTAATGTAGAATCTGGTCCCAGAAAACCCCAAGCTAATACTGGACTTGTATGCTCTGATATACTGTAAAATCTTCTAATGAAGCCATCTGGCACCTGTTTAAAAATACAAAAACAGTCATAAATAATGAAACACCATGCTTTTTATTTGTAATTCTTCCCACTGAAATTAAAAGTCCTAAAGAAGGTGTCAAAACATTTTATTTAACTTTTTCATCTAGTTCATGTCAGTCCTTTGGCAAAAAACATGTATACATTTCTATTGCAATCTATCTTCTGATTGTAAATTTAATAGACTATGCTATGTCCTATTAATTTTTTTCAATGATCCACGGGTAGAGATTTATATAGAACATAGAACATTACCAAATAACTGAAATATTATAATCTATTACTTACTTTGAGCATTCTTCTTTTGGCTTTTAATACTGACCATACTGCTGTTGATAAAGCCTGAAATTTGTATGTGTATTATTTAAAAATCTATTACATAAAAAGAAAACTGAACAGAAATATGAATGCAGTGCTATCAATGTTCTCTCCAGGGCCTTTTAGGGTCTTGGTAATGTGATGTTATCTGAAATGATTTTCTTATAGATTGTGTTATTGGTGTGAAGCTATAATTTTATAAATAAGATGGTATTTAATAATTCCATTTTAACCAGATGCTATTTGAAAATTTTGGAGAGACTACTGATATTGAAAATATTTATTTTTAACTCGTCTCAAACTAGTAAGTCTGTTTCAAAGAATACTTTTTTTATGCCTATCTTAATGTTATCATTCAACTGGTTTTTGGAATTAAAGCAAACATTCTGAGAGTATTGCATGGCAATACATAGTCCCCTACCGGTTAAGAATTCATTGTACTGGAACAAAATGCTAACTTTATCAGTAATTTGTAATATTTTCTATATTAAAAAAAACTAAAACTAAAAAGTCCTGGTGCAAATATTTAACACTAAATATGTTTATACTAAAATATATGAAAAGTTTTTCTTGCGAAAAAAGTTTCATTAAAGGTGATGTATCAAAAAGATTAATAGACAAAGAGCAAAAAACTGATTACTTGCATGTATTTTTTAAGTCCAAGGACCATAACTCTGCATATAATCATCAGACCAAAACAAAATTCAAACTTGATCTGTAATTGGTCATGATAGAACTATATACAAAATTAATATCTTCAAGCATGACGAAAAAAAGTGCAGAAATCTGACTACTTGTGTGAATTTTCTAAGTCCAAGGACCATAAATTTGCTCAAAATCAATAGACAGTTTTTCTTGCGAATTAAATTTCACTAAAGGAGTTGTATCAACAAGATTAATAGACAAAGTATGGAAAACTGATTACTTGCATGTATTTTTTAAGTCCAAGGATTATAACTCTGCACAAAATCATCAGATCTGAACAAAATTCAAATTGATCTGTAACTGGTCATGATAAAACAATATACCAAACATCAAATCAATATCCTCAAGCATGATGAAAAAAGTGTGGAAAACTGATTTGCCAGACTGACAGACAGACAGACGGATGGACTGACAGATGGAGTGCAAACCTAAAGTCCCCTTTGTCTCTGCCAGTAGGGGACTAATAAACCTAAATGTGAAATTGACTAAAATGTAGGTCATAATAATCAATTAGAAAGTAGCACCAAAATATCAAGTTTAATGGTATGTTCGAAATTATCAGAAAAATAAAGTAGGGTTTAAAATTCACTCAAAGTCAATGAAGCAAGGATAGTAAGTCATGGAGACTAACTTTTGTTGGAAGTTACAAGACCCACTACTAAGAGACCTACAATCATAAAATTATGACATCATGTAACGGAAAAGAAAGGACATAGTGTATCAATTCATGTAAAAAAATCACTACACTGACATAAAAAACCCAAAAGCGGTGGGACAGCACTTTTATTGCTGTTCTCATCTCAAAGTCACAGTGAGGCCTTCAAGGTGGAGCAATACATCTCACCTCACTGCAAGTTAAGACTATCCCTAGCACCAGATAAAGCAGATTTTTTGCAAGATGTTTAAGGATGTCTTTGAGGTATTATAGCATCTCATGAAAGCAGATCACTCTAATCTACATTTTATGCTTCATTGAATTGAAAATTTGTTTACATTTTGTGGAAAAATGATATTTCTCAAGGGAATGCTGCTGATATGTTCACTAATTATATTGCAGGAAAAGCCTTGGTACCCCATCATTAAACTTAAAAGTATAAATAAAGCAAGTGAAATATGGGTAATGTGCTTTCATAATTTCACCATATCGTCTCCATAAGAAGAAGATCTTATACCAACTGGCTACTGAGATTTTCCTGATTACTTCACTGAGGTGAATTTAAAAACTCAACATCACATTATTAGATCTCCATTTGTTTATATACTGGCAGTGATCTAGTTAAAAAAAATCAACATAATTATAAGAAATATCATATAAATTAAATGTTAGTGCTTTTCCTTCTAACAGGACAGAAGCCTGTCAACTACGAGTGTATTGAGTAGCATTAAAAAATTTAAATTGCTTCAGAAACAAGATTTCTTTCATTTATAAAGATATCTTACTGTTTCTTTAAATCCATTTGAGAGCCATCTATTTTGTACTACTGTTATGACAGATGAAGGTGGATTGGAAAGATCATCAAAAGCATCCATCAAAATAAAATCTAATACAACATCATAAAATGTGAAACTTTTTACCTACAAAAGAAAAATTCATTGAAATATGAACTATCTAACCATCAATGTCAAACAATAAGTATTGAACATAAAAACTTTGTTTTCATAATTTGTCAAACAGTTCACCTTTTATAAAATGTGAAGCAATTCACCAATTATAAAATGTGAAGCAATTCACTAATTATACAATGTGAAGCAATTCACTAATTATACAATGTGAAACATGTATCCTCCCCTAAAAACTTTGATGACAACAGCATGATATACTGTTAAACAAGAGTGCACACGCTGAAATGTCTCGCCTTCTTTACTGACCATTGATTTTATGTTGATAGTCCTAAATATAAAGCTGTATCACATAAACTTAACATGATCCAAGAAAATGAGGTCAAGGTCAGATAAACCAAACCGGAAATACATGTACACCTTACAATCATTCAATACACCAAATATAGTTGACCTATTGCTTATAGTTTCTAAGAAACAGACTTAAACAGGAAAACTAAATATTGACCAATGGACCATGAAAATAAGGTCAAGGTCAGATGAACAATGCCAGACAAACATGTACACCTTACAATCAATCTATGCATTAAATATAGTTGACCTATTGCTTATGATATCTAAGAAACAAACTTAACCAGGAAATCTTAACATTGACTAATGAACCATGAAAATGAGGTCAAGGTCAGATGATACCTGCCAGACAGACATATACACCTTACAATCATTCCATACAACAAATACAGTTGACCTATTGGTTATAGTTTAAGAAAAAACAGACCAAATCACAAAAACACTGAGCAATGAACCGTGAAAATGAGGTCAAGGTCAAATTAAACCTGCCAGACTGACATGTACTTTATAAAATATTTCCATACACCAAATATAGTTGACCTATTGCATATAGTATTAGAAAAAAAGACCAAAACACAAAAACTTAACTTTAACCACTGAACCATGAAAATGAGGTCAAGGTCACATGACACCTGCCAGTTTGACATGTACACCTTACAATCATTCCATACACCAAATATAGAAGACCTATTGCATATAGTATCTGATATATGGACTTGACCACGAAAACCTAACCATGTTCACTGATCCATGAAATGAGGTCGAGGTCAGGTGAAAACTGTCTGACGGGCATGAGGACCTTGCAAGGTACACACATATTAAATACAGTTATCCTAATACTCATAATAAGAGAGAAATTAACATTACAAAAAAACTTAACTTTTTTTGCAAGTAGTCACTGAACCATGAAAATGAGGTTAAGGACAATGGACATATGACAGACGGAAACTTCATAACATAAGGCATCTATATACAAAGTATGAAGCATCCAGGTCTTTCACCTTGGAAAATATAAAGCTTTTAAGAAGTTAGCTGACGCCGAGGCCGCCGGATCACTATCCCTATGTCGAGCTTTCTGCGACAAAAGTCGCAGGCTTGACAAAAACTAATTTTCGCGAGTGATTTATTTTGCAACTTTCACAGGTAGAAAAATAACGCAATTTAAATCGTTGTAAATATGTAAAACGTGGATTTCCCCTTATTTAAATGCATCAAGTAAATTTGAAAATCTTGAAGTTAAAATGCTGCGAAGTGGTCTAGAAAGTGCTAAACATAAAATAAAGCATCCGCAAAAATAAACTGGTTTACAGTAACCATGGCAGAGGCTAATTGAGAGTAAATTTATATGATAAGCTAAAAAAAATCCACTCTCAAACAACTTAAAATCTGTGAAAACTACAAGGCTCTACTGAGCTTATGTATTTAAGCTGGTGTGTATATGTATTTCGATTTTAGTGCTTCTGCCTATCATCTTAAAAACTCAATATACAGACAACAACTGTAAATAGGGAGGAGGAGGAGGATGGAACATTTTGTAAATGTTTTTCTTTTCATATGTCAATATAGAATATTTTCTTCAGATGCACAATCCATGGAACCTCTAGTTTTAAGGATGTATGAACATGTATGTTTTATCATATCAATATACACCACACGTCATACATACCCCTCTGCCTTTCAATTCTTCTTCCATTTGTGGCCAGTTAGTAGACTTGAATACATAATCCATCATTTCATCATAGGCAACAAAAAATTCATCAGGATCCTAAAACGTAATGTATAATTATTGCAAATCATTTGCACACATATGCACACACACAAACAACAATAAATAGTGGCAACTTCAAGAAGATTCTAATTGAATGATTCCTTTTTAATAGAAATATGAGATCAACTATTTATGTACCTCAAACTTGGACAAAAGTTACCTTCATACATGTACATTTGTAAGTTTGACTAAAATCATATCAAGTTTTCATGGAGTCCATTGGAATATTAAGGATGAGTTTAAATTTTCAAAGCATACAGAAAGAAGAGCATTAATTTATGCTTAATTTGGAAAGGTATAAAATTACAACTACTGGTATTGTATTTTAAAAGCTTGAATTATCTTTCATGTAATTATAAATTTATCTTGATTTTACTTACCCTTTCAGATTTAAGAAGAATATCGCCAATTATCTGTCTACCCATTCTTCTAAAATAGTCTTTGTTGGAATTGTTACTAAATATAATCTGAAAAGATGAAAATAGAATAAAGATTAAGTATACGACTACCTACAAAATAAATAAACATAAATGCATTCCAATGGTTAACTAGTGCAGATCAATATGCAGCTTGCATCTCAATTATTTTTGTGATTCAATCTTGAAATATTTATCAAAAATGCTTTTGTGTAAGTTGAAATGATGTCGGTGAACATGCTGAAAGTTGATAGTCATGAATTTGATCTAATGGTACTTTTTTTATTTATAAATTTTATTTTCAGATAAAGCGTCCATATTGCAATGAAATTGAAATAAAATCTTATGATTATTCTTAAATAATGCTATTGAGACCTACATTACCTCAAGTGCCAATCTCAGACAATGCAGTTTGGCAAGAAATTCTGTGTCTGACAAACAATGTGTCATTTCTGTCCTAGAAGATAATTTTTTTACATTACTTGTTTTGTGGAGAAAGCACTAACATTACTATGGTTCAACAAGGGATGTGTTTTGTCAAATAATAAGAAACCTACGATCATATCATTGTTACAATGTTTTTTGTGAAAGGCAGAATGCAGAGAAACTTTCAAAACACCTCTATTTTATTTCTAGAAAGACTACCTATAATTCATAGCAGCTGTACAAGTAAATTTGTTATTGGTTTTAAACACCTGATGTCTTTTTTGTTTACATATTGGCACTAAAGTGTCTACAGTAATATCAGTGGTAACTGCAAAATATCATTCTTTTAAATCTATTTTTATCAGGAGATTATTGTAACAATTATTCAGTACAGAATTAAAAAGATTGTTTTAAAATATCAGATCCCATCAGCATCCTCTGATAAATTAGTTTATACCTGAGGGTTCTACATGTTATGGTTCCATGTTTTAATTCTAAAAGACCTGCTTCATACAATGGTAGGTGTTGGAACATTTCTCTATGATTGTCTAAATCAGCTAAATTGGCCATCTACAAATAAGTAATAAAAAGTAAATTATATTATTACTATAAGATGGAATTCTCAGAGCAAAATAACTCAAAATTTCATTTAAATTGTATATATACAGTCAAGCACAGAATTCAATTCTTCATATACTTCTGTTTACGTCTTCAGCCTACATAGTGTAAAATGACACTTGCTATGGTAAGAATAAATTTCGAAAAATATATATATCAGGTATACTATAAATTACTTCAATAAGCTATAGCGGCGTGTAATTACATACACTTCGCCTTCAGGGCTTTGAAATAGTACATTTTCCAGGATATTTTACAAGATCTATCATAACTTGTATTTACATCTGTAGCTGATACAAATGAATCTTGGTCACTTTGGGAACCATTGTCTAAACTTCTTCTCTCTGATGCTCTGTCCATCTCTGTGGTAAATGCCGTAATAGCAGAATCAAATGCTACTTGATCTGCCTGTCTTTCACACTGACGTTCATAACTGTCCATCATTCTGTAAGAAGAGTCCAGTAATCTTTCTAACTGTTGATGTAATGCTAAAGTTTCTGCATCCTATAAAACATTACAAATTTATTATCTCATTTGAGTAAATATTCATAGTTGTTAACTTCTAAGTCATTTGGTCTCAGGTGGAGAGTTGTCTCATTGGCAATCACACCACATCTTCTTATTCTTATATTAGACATAATACATAGCTAACTGTCATCACATTTTTCTACAAAGATAAAACAAGTGAACACTAAGGTATATCTTAATTGCCTTACACCAAAAACTGGAAACGGATGGACTGAGTCATAATAGTTTCTAAAACTAAAAAGAACTGTTGCTTATGCTATATCATACCATTCATGCATGGTTTAATATTGTAAAAAGTTATAAAAGCATATTAAGTGTTTAGGTCCTCAATATCATTTCTATATGATGATGCAGATATTCATGTGTCAATTAGACATACAGCTGTTTTTGATCAGTTTTCAGTGACTAACAGGTATTCTGAAACTTAGGTTTCCATCATTATCTGACTTACATGTATGACTGGTTTTGATTTGTCCTCAGTTGATAATAATTTCACATTTGCATCCTCCCAATAACTTACTGCTGTCTGTAAGGTTTCAAATCCTTTTAAAACAAGATAAACTGTGTAATGATAATTCATAAGTCTTGCAAAGTATAGACATATTATGCAAGTAATTTTAATTCTAGGATTTTGGGGAGACTCTAGATTTGTGGAACAGAGTAATTTCTGGGGAGCTGTTATATTGAGGTATAAATCAAATTAATATGGACTTTTTTTATAATAAAGTTTTTTTTAATCTTATTATTTTTAAATTTTTCCTTTTAAAATTGGAAATAGTAAGAACTGGTACTATGTGCATGAATTTGCATTACAACTTTAGAGTTGATTGATGTGATAAATAGTATGCTTATTAATCAGAGTGTTATTTTAGTATTAGGTGACTTACTGTGACTTGACTATAAAAATATCCACACTAAATTTTCATACTATTCCTTTTAATCAATTAGTGACCAACAAAACAATGTTTGAACTAATTATTTATAAGATGTCATAAGGATAGAAGTTTTCAGATCCAAGTCCAACCTTTTTAAACCAGTGTTCCTTATATTAAAGAAGGTGTTTATTTTATTTCTTTTTCATGACACAGACAATAAATAACTGGATTTGGATGGTAGGCATTATTTTTATTTCACTGATCTCTCTTCATACATACAACCTTTCAATGAAGCAATGAGCTAAAATGCTTTACTAGTTGATCAGTTTGCAGAAGTGTTTCAAACTGCAATTGAGTAAAACTTTTTTAGCAATTGGTATTGTGAAAGCAAGTACAAAGCACAGTAAAAGGAATAGTATGAAAATTTACTTTGGATATCTTTATAGCAATTCAAAAATTCCTTTCAAATGACTCATTACACTAACAATATATACAGAAATTGTAGGTAACACTAACTGTCAAAACTTTCATTGCAGAAATGAAGTGGAATTCAATTTTAATGGATTGAAAGTATGCTTTATTTTATCACTTTGCATTTTGATAACTTGGACTTGTTTTCTTCTACAACAGTTGGTGAAATTTTTAGACCAGTTGAACAGTTTGATTTGATGAAACAAATTGCAATTTGGTCAGAATTTTGTATCAACAGTAATAGGTGCAGAGAAACACTTACATGTATAATCAAGTCACAGTGTGTGAACAAAATAAACAGTACATGTAGTATCATTAATGATCGAGGTCAACTCTTACAACGTGCATGATCATACATTCATCAACTCAACATTACCAACTGGTCAATTGAAATGTCCAAATTCAAAGATCTTTTACAATCTAGTTGAACAATAGGTAAAGGTGTAGGATAAAACCTATAGTAAAGTCATAGTATAAAGATAAAGTACTTCGAGAACTGTGAAAATTGAAAACAAGAGTGCACACGCTGAAATGTCTCGCCTGTTTTACTGACCATTGATTTTATGTTGAAAGACTTAAAGATAAAGGTTTTACTACAAGGATAATCACATAAACTTAACATTTTTAAAGATCCATGACAATGAGGTCAAGGTCAGATATAAACTGTCATACAGACATGTACACCTTACAATTATTCCATACACCAAATAAAGTTGACCCATTGCTTATGATATTGAAAAACGGACCAAAACACAAAAACATAATGTTAACCAATGAACCATGGAAATGAGATCAAGGTCAGATGATACTGGCTAGACAGACATGTACACCTTACAATCATTCCATACAGAAATTATAGCTGACCTATTGCTATTAGTATTTGAAAAACAGACCAAAACACAAAAACTTAACATTGACCAATGAACCATGAAAATGAGGTCAAGGTCAGATGACACCGGCTAGACAGACATGTACACCTTATAATCATTCCATAAACCAGATATAGTGACCTATTGCTTATAGTACTTGAAAAACAGACCAAAACACAAAAACTTAACATTGACCAATGAGCCATTAAAATGAGGTTAAACTCAGATGACACCAGCTAGACCAACATGTACACCTTACTATCATTCCATACACCAAATATAGTTGACCTATTGCTTACACATGCACATTATTTAAAAAAAACAGACAAAAACACAAATCAAAGCATCGTTGATGTTGTGATCCAGCCATATTCATAGCTAGTCTGATATTCTTTCTGACCATACTTTTTTCTAAATTTTTTTCTCTTTTCATTTCCAATCTTACTGTAAAATTTCTATGTTATTGTCCAAAGGTAGGGAATTTCGCAATATTGATGCAAATATAGATATATATACTGATCTTTCAATTTTAGACTCTGTCCGATTTTATTTTTGACAAGAATGGAAAGGAAAATCGTTAAACAAGTAATATATTTTTTATATGCCATTAATAATGACAGGTTTAATAATTTCCAGAAAGAGGCCTTATAAATGATCTTTCTCAACAACAAAAATTTAAAAAAATAATAACTATTTTTTATCTAAATTGGTGTTCATTTTTCATTAAGAAAAATACATTTCCTGTATTCAAATCTGAATGTACAAATACCTAATGCTGAGATATTTCCAATTACTGTTAAATAGCAATATAATGGGATATAAATGTAAAACAAACAAATAAATTTTATTGCAGAAAATGCTCAGGTAAGAGTTATACAATTTTGTTTAATATTTCAACCAAGTTTCTGATAATTGTAACCAATTAATTAGAACTTGATTATTAATTTATGTCAGATGATAATGGCACTGATTTTACAAGTAAAATAAAATTTGCTTGCATTTTTTATACACATATTTTTTTTTCATTTTAAGTATTTTCTTTGAAAAAAAACAACACATCAGATTAATCATTCAGCTAGCTAGCAAAATTAACAGAATATTTTAATGTAGCGTAGATCAAAATAAATAATACATTTGTAGGTTTACTATTGAGGTCAAGAATGTGTGTATTCAGTACTAGTTAGGTGTGTAATAAATTGTGTCTATTTAATTATGTAACAGGTCATGAGATATTAAATGTTTTGAATTAAGCCTGGGGTTGTTTCTAATTAATACTTATTTGAAAATCATGACAGTTAATAATCATTCTGACTCTTACTTGCCTATGGAAAGAATTGGAGTAATACCATTTCAAATAAAATGCTCCGCTGGGCGCAGCTTGATACGACCGCAGAGGTCAAACCCTGAACAGTTGGGGCAAGTATGGACACAACATTCAAGCTTGATACAGCACTGAATTTGGATTGTGATTAAATATTTGACACAGCATAGGTTTCTGACACAGAATGAATTTGGTCTAAGAACTTAAAAAAAATTTAATTTACCTATTAAACCATATCATTATTATTTGCTTTTATATATAAATCAGAAATAACCAATTTAAAATGGAAAATTTTAAAGAAAAAATTTAACCCTCTTATGATTCATTACCCCCAAAATCAATCCCAGCCTTCCCTTTGAGGTATGGTACCTTGCAGTACAATTTCAGAGAGATCCATACACTTGAACACAAGTTATTGTTTGGAAACTAGAAAAATGCTTGTTTTTATGCCCCTTTTTGGCCCCTTATTCCTAAACGTTTAAGGCAACTACCACCAAACTCAAACCCAGCTTTCCCTTTTAATATGGAACCTTGTAGAACAATTTCATAAAGATCCATACACTTACACACAAGTTATTGTCCTGAAACTAGAAAAATGCTTGTTTTTTGCCCCTAATTCCTAAAATTTTGAGGCAATTACCCCCAAAATCAATCCCAGCATTCCCTTTGTGATATGGAACCTTGTGGTACAATGTCACAGAGATCCACACACTAACACACAAGTTATGTCTGGAAGTTACAAAAATGTTAATTTTTGGCCCCTAATTCCTTAACTGTTGGTACCATAACCCCAAAAATCAATCCCAACCTTCCTTTTGTGGTATTGAACCTTATGGTAAAATTTCATAGAGATCCATTCACTTAAACTAAAGTTAGAGTGCGAAAACCAATGTGTCTTCGGACAACGACGACGATGCCGGACAACGACGACAACGAAGACGCCAAAGTCATACCAATATACGACCGCGGTCGTATAAAAAGTGTGGGAATCAACTTAGATATATTAATACACATGTTGACCTACATTTCATTGAACAATAATTTACACAAGCACAAGATACTAATATAATACTTTCAAAACTCTTATCAACTGATTCAATTGATGTACAAATACTTTTTCAAATTAATTCATAAATAGTAAATCATCATAAATTTTGATTTAGAAAGGAACTATATGCAAGTGTATATCTAAAATAAAGTCACTATTCGACCAATCTTTTCTTAATTTAAGGGCAAATAACATGTCAAAAGTTTGCAGTTGATGATTAAAATGGTGTAGAAAATTTCTGCAAGTCATAAAAACACATAATTAGTTTCATGATATGTCTTCAACTTAGTATTCTGCACCATCTCCAAAACCAGAGTGATCGCATGTAGATCCAGCATGGCTGAATCAAAAATTAACAATGACCAATGAACCATGAAAATGAGGTCAAGGTCAGATGAAACCTGCCAGTCTGACATGTACCCCTTACAATCATTCCATACACCACACATATAGTTGACCTGCTGCTTGTAGTATCTGAGAAACGGACCTAATCACGTAACTTTAACCTTGATCACTGATCCATGAATTGAGGTCGAGGTCAAGTTAAACCTGTTTGATGGACATGTAGACGTTGCAAGGAACCCATATACCATTTGAGGTCAAGGTCAAGTTAACCCTGTTTGACGGACATGTAGACGTTGCAAGGAACCCATATACCAAATATAGTTATCCTATTACACATAATAAGTGAGAAATTAACATGACAAATAAACTGCTTCGCTGAGCGCAGCTAGATACGCCCGCAGAGGTCCGACCCTGAACAGTTGGGGCAGAAATGGACACAATATTCAAGCTTGATTCAGGTCTGAATTTGGATTGTAATTAAATATTTGACATATTATAGGTTTCTGAATAAATGTATTCAAAGAACTTAAATTGGTTATATGAATTGAATTTATATTCAATTAAAAATTTCTTGCTGTTGTGCAACACTTAGTAAATCTGTTGTCAAGACTATAAACAAATAAAGTTCAATTAATTCTCAATGCCATATTAGAAATTTATGAAAATAAAAAGGGAGCTTACATCAATAGATATAAACAATTCACCAAAGTTTCATAAGAATTGGTGACAGCATTTTTGAGTTATTGTCTGAAAACTGGAAAATCACCCTTTTTTTAATGAATAAAACCCCATAACTCAGAAATGTTAAATGTAAAATTTATAAAATTCTAAAGAGAGTTTACATCAATACATACAAACAATTCACCAAAGTTTCATAAGAATTGCTGAAAGCATTTTTGAGTTTTTGTCCGAAAACTGAAAAATCCCCCCTTTTTTTATGGATAAAACCCTGTAACTCGGAAACGTAAAATCTAAAATTTATAAAAATCAAAAGAGAGCTCATGTTAATAGATATAAACAATTCACCACAATTTCTTGCAAGTTGGTGAAAGCATTCTTGACTTATTGTCCGAAAACTGGAAAATCCCCCTTTTTTTAATGAATAAAACCCCATTACTCGGAAACGTAAAATCTAAATTTTATAAAAAACGAAAGGGAGCTCACGTCAATAGATATAAACAATTCACCAAAGTTTTATGCAAATTGGTTAAAGCATTCTTGAGTTAATGTCCGACATGTTGACGACGGACAGACGGACGGACGGACAGACGGACAACGGTATACCATAATACGTCCCGTAAACGGGCGTATAAAAACTGTAATTTTTTTTCAAGCAGTCACTGAACCATGAAAATGAGGTCAAGGACAATGGGCATGTGACAGACAGAAACTTTGTAACATAAGGTATCTGCATACAAGGTATGAAGCATCCAGGTCTTCTACCTTTTAAAATATTACTTTATACAAATAGTTTACTCCGCCGACGCGGGATAGTAATACCTATGTCTCGCATACTGCGACGAAAGCAGGCGAGACAAAAAAACGGTTGAATATATTTGGATTTTGAATTGGTGGTATGACATCGAAACTATAAGATATAAATTTTCCCTCGACTTTCAATTATAACAGATCAACAAATCATTGTAATATTGATCTCCTGTTAGGTTTCATTACTATAACATGACATGAGTTAAAATTTGTAGCTAAATAAACGTCCACTTCAGATATAAAAAAAAACAACATTTTCATGGATCCTTCCCATGACTTATTACATGATAATGAACTGTTGATTACATGTAACCTTAGGGAACTTGAAAAACAGCTTACAATAAGTATATTTTGGTATGTATTTCAATTTTCATAATATAATCATGTCCAATAGTCTTGTACACATAATTTTCAAAGTGACATTGATTCCTTTAGACAACAAAAAATTTCATATGCACTATTTCACCAATTTTGTTGAAAAAAATTCAAGTACAGGATTACTAAATGAAAATTTCGTGTCAAAGAAAAAAAAAATTGTTAACAATGGAAGGCTACAGTTTCACTGTACAAAACTTCAGTTGGGATTTGATTGGAAACTCAACTCAAGATTGTAGTTTAACAAAATGAAATTGACTCTTTATGATTGAATTTGTGGTTAAAATTTTTCATATGGTTTCAGTATGCCAAAAGATTCAAAATCAAACCCTAAGAAAACAGTCCACAAATGTGTCAGTTTTCATTTTCTCAAAACATTTCAAATCTTTGATATTCTAAAAAGATTAAATGAAAAGATAAAACAAGCCAAGACATACCTAGATGACACAGCTGTATTGGGGACATTGAGCCGGTATCTATTGCAGCATGTGTCACTGTGGATATAGATGATGCAGCCAAACTGGACATGGAACCAAACTGTGCCTTGTTAAATCTAGATAGTGTAGAACTACCAGATGGACTCTCAGCATGATGTCCTCTACCCATTGTCACATCTGCAATAAAATCAAACTCCTATTATTTGTACCAAACATTACCAACAGCAAGTCAAAAACTTGGGCAAAGTATTGATATTGTAAATATTGACATTTTGTGATGAAAGTGGTTATGCAAAACAAATAAAAGAACAGCCTGCATATGCCACCGCTAATGCACATATTAAAATCATTCAACGGCAATAAATCCAACAAAAATGCACACATGGACAACGGGTAGGACAGATCCAAAAAAGTGCTCAAAACCTTACAATTCATCACTGCCAAGCTATTTGTGGACGAACAAACAAGGTGACTTCAATACAGAAGTGGGGGTATATTAACACATTTTTTTTCTTTTTTAACTTTTTCATAAATACCCTACAAGAAATGTAGGCATGATATATCTAACAATGCAATTTTGCTTAGAACTTTTATTTCCAAGGCCCCTTGTCCTAAAAAAATAGTTTATGTCATTGATTATACAACTCGTCCAAGGCCTTGCTGATTCAAACAATTGATGTAAATTTCAAACAAATCTGGCAATAATGTAGGCGTGAGCATGCTTACAATGTAATTTTCTATAGAATTTACATTTCAAAGAGACATTATTGCTCTTTAAATATTTGTACTGCACTGATTTTCAAACTACTTCAAAACATTGCTTGATTTTTTATATAAATTTCATAAAATCTTACAAGAAATGTAGGCCTAAGTTTTCTTACAATTGAGATAAATTTTCCACAGACTTTAGATTTCCAAGGGACATTAGTCCTGTAAAAATAATTGATCTGCACAATAATTGATTGTGCATGAACTCTTTAAAAACAGCATACCAGAAATTTTATTGGGTTCATGTTGCTCAATCTTATGCAGTGTTTTGTATAAATAATGTTAATTTGATTTGTAGTTTTTTTTTTAGTAAGTATGTCATTAAGTATTTCTTTTGTTATATATATATTCCTGTTATGTTAAAATAGACTTTTAAAATAATAAAGATGCAAGTTCTATCTAGGTTCTCAAATAAAACAAACCTCCATTAAGATAGCTATGTAATCTACTATTATGTTCACTTCCATCAGGAACCTGCCGTTTTACATTCTGATTGTATTTCTTCCTTAGACGGAAATATGCTGTAATCAATCCCAATATAGCAAGCCCTAATGATACAGTTGTCACAACTTTAGCCCTATTAGTAGGAAGTGAAATCACAGGAAACTGCAGTGGCCACTTTGAAGACATCCTATCACTACTAAACTTCACATGACCTGATAAAATAAAACATTTTGTATTTACTATAACATAGTACATCTTTCTCCAAAAAATTGTTTACTGGTGTAAAATTACAAAGTCAAGTCAGAGTAAGTATGAACATGATGAATACAAAGCAATTTGAGATGATTTGGCAATTAACCCCTTCACTTTTTTATTTAAAGTATATCAGCAAAAAAGCGATATTAACAGTATGCTACATTTAAAGCATTTTTTGCAATTTGTAAACTGATTGGCTTCCTTAAGGCTCTGACACAGAAAGTTTGACATCTTTATTGCAGGTAAGCATGTGCTTAAAACAAATTTTGATTTCCTCATGTTTTATCCCATTGCTAGCATAAACCAATAATTTGATCAATTACATCATTTATTTTCGTGTAAAGATATTTACAAGAACCATGTTATTGTATACTTTTTGACTGCTAATGGTTATTTTAATGATAGGACTCAGCTAGTCCAAATAATTATGACGTCTTGAAAGGCTATTATATTTTTTTCTGTGACGCCTTACATCGACTGTAAGGCGTCAAAGCAAAAAAATAAAATAGCCTTTCAAGACATCATAATTATTTGGACTAGGACTCAGCTAGTGTTACTTCTAAAAGGATATGTGTTGAGGAGGTACAGATTCAAATATATTTTATTCTAAATTCAATTTTGAATAAATAAGTAAAACTATTTTTTTAATAAACACACATGTAGCTACTTCAAGAGGTTAAAATAAACCTTTTAAATTTACATTAAAATTCAGAAAACTGTTATGCTACTTTAAACTTCGACCTTTTTTACCAGGTTACACCTGACTCGTATTACATTGTGTCTATTTATTTACGGATAAGTGAATATAACAAAAAGTATGCAGATAAACGAATAACAGAAGATTTTGTTATTTTTGTTTATACCTTTTTCATTTCGTTTGGTTTGTTTTCTGAAGAAGAAGGGGAGGTAATTGTTTTAGTTCTAAAAGTTGAACCTATCTCCGTACAGTTCCGGAAAGCGACCTATGAACAAAAATTACCCCCCACCCCATAAAGAAAGAAAATAGCCAACTTTAGGTTGGTAATCATCGGACGTACCAGTCAATTTTTTATATAAGTTTCAAACAAGTTTCTTTGAGTGGGCTATTGACGATCAACTTTTAAACTGTTTTTGAAATATATTTTATTCAAATCTTTCCGCTTTTATTGTCTCTGTTGAAAGATACTGTATAAATAAATATTTCGCTTTTTAAAAGCATTCAATTTGGTTCGAATATGAAGTACATGAGGGTGTGGATGGGGGTTTCCAGAATAGAGAATAATGGAGAAAATATAAAGAATAGAAAAATGGGAAAAAAAATAAAGAATAGAGAATAATGGACAAAAAGTATAAAGAATAGAGAAAAATGGCCTAAAAATTAAAGAATACAGAAATGGAGGACCCCATCCAGACCCTCGTACATGCACGAAGAAGTTTGTCTGACGTAAAAATACGTATTCCAATATCTCACGGCTTCATAACATCAGAGACATATAATAAAATTGAGAATGGAAATGGGGAATGTGTCAAAAAGACAACAACCCGACCATAGAGCAGACAACAGCTGAAGGCCACCAATGGGTCTTCAATGCATCGAGAAACTCCCGCACCCGGAGGCGTCCTTCAGCTGGCCCCTAAACAAATAAGTATACTTGTATTATATGTCTCTGATAACATTTACACACACAGTGCACCGATTCTTAATAATATTTTTACGAAATCATTTGAAATTTTGTTCTTTTTAAATTTTAAATTATCTGTATCACAATAAGCATACTAGTACGTCGACATGTCGCTGCATGATAATTCATCACTTTTGTGAAGGTATGTCAAACTGTCACTAGTACTCAGAAGTCCTAGTAATGGACTTCTGCTGTAATGTGTGATAACATTTTGTGAGGGAATTCGATGTTTGCTATACCACGGTTCATTTCAACGCACTTTATGACAATACCGCTATACCAGACAGAATGGTTTTTTTGCAGTGTTTTAAGAAATGAGTTTACTTTGTATCCATGTATTATTTGTGAAACATTAAATGTTTTAAAGGTGCGAATTTTCTGTATAAAGTCAATAATTATGTAGACTTTTGAAGCCCAAACTTTCTATTTGCCTTACATACGCAAATGAAAGATCCGAAAACTGTACCAATACAGAACGACATGTATTTGAAATTATAGCAAAACTTTTGGTTGACAAATTTTTATTCGGTATTGAAAAAAATTAACCTAAATATCTGTCATTTTCTCCCTACCCAATTTACCCCTATTACTTATTATGATGTGGACTGGTCATTGTTATTGAATCTTACGCAATTTGATTGGATTAAGTTATTATTACTTTACCTTTAAACTGTTTATTTTTTTTCATACACGTATATTGATTAAATCAGAACATGCATGAATGTGTACAGTAACTTAAATGACCTTCAAACTGGACACTAGGCGAGTCCATATTATTTTTTTATTAATGAAACTAAAGGTATGAAAGGTAAGAATTGCCACTTCTTATAATTTCACAAAATTTCCCACTTATAGACTATACTTTCTTGTTATTTGACCTGTTGATACTAATTGTAATGCTTTTTTGTTATTTAATGTTATTCAGGGTTATATCTGGTCTATATACCAGCTTTGATAAGTGTTTGGTATTACTATAATTTTTCACTTCTTCGTACTATGAACATCAAAATTATTTATTTTGTAAAAATATTTCCTTCCTCGATTTGAACTGTACTCGTATACCTAACAACAAAATTATTTTCATTTACCTGTGTTTAAAGTAATTGCAAATGGCTGATATTTTTATTCAAGCATATTGTTTTTTTTTAAATTGTTTAACATTTCACAGCGGTATAACATGTTACTTTAATTATTTTCCCTTAGTTTATTTATTTTGTATTTACATTGTATCATAGGTCAAATTTTTTTGTTCAGTGTATGTTCACTGGTGTTAATATGTCTTTTGATTGAGTTAAACCATTTCAATTGATATTTTATAGTGTCTTTCTATGTTGTGATGTTACACTATTGTTTCAGATAAGGGTGAAGGTTTGGTACCATTAAAACGTTTAAACCCACTGCAATTGTTTGCACCTGTCCTAAGTCAGGAATCTGATGTTCAGTAGTTGTCGTTTGTTGATGTGGTTCATAAGTGTTTCTCGTTTCTCGTTTTTTATATAGATTAGACCGTTGGTTTTCCCGTTTGAATGGTTTTACACTAGTAATTTTTGGGGCCATTTATAGCTTGCTGTTCGGTGTGAGCCAAGGCTCCGTGTTGCAGACCGTACTTTGACCTATAATGGTTTACTTTTTATAAATTTTGACTTGGATGGAGAGTTGTCTCATAGGCACTCATACCACAACTTCTTATATCTAGTGGTACAAGGACATCTTCGTAAATATAAATCAACATTCAGACATCTTATACGTTCAGGTATTTCACATCCAATCTTTTATGGTAATATTCTATACAAAGCACAAAAATGTCGTCATTCACCTCAAAAGCTAACGAAACCTTTAAACAGACTCATTCAGAAGGGATATAGTTACGATATTGTTGTCAGGTCATTAAAGATGGCATATTTTGGAATTAATATTGATTCACTCATAGGGTCTTTGCATCGGAAATAAACACATTTATTCCAAAATCAGTTGTTGGTATGATACGGGCCTGACTTAGGACAGGTGCAAACAATTGCAGCGGGTTTAAACGTTTTAATAGGCGCCAACCTTCATCCTACCTGAAATAATAGTGTAACATCACAACATAGAAAGACATACTAAAATATCAATTGAAATGGTTTAACTCAATCAAAAGACATATTAACAAATACAAGTGAATATACACTGAACGAATAAATTTGATCTATGACACAATGTAAATACAAAATTAATAAAACAAGGGGGTTAGATGTGAAGCAATATCAGTAAGACAACCATAACCCTGGAAAAATGCCGCCAAATAAAATAACGTACACAGGTAAATACAAATAAGTTTGTTGTAAGGTATACATGGAGTACGGAAATGATTTTTACAAAATAAATAATTTTGTTGTTCCTAGTACGAGAACAAAAGTGAACATTTATCGTATTACTAAACACTTATCAAAGGTGGTATATATTAAAAATAGTGAGACGAGATACTAACAGAAAATAAGTAAACATTCAATAACAAAAATGCATTACAAATTGTATCAACAGGAGTCAAATTAGTCAATCTGGTGAATAACCTGCAACTAATTGCAACACAAAGTTTTTCTCTGAAAAACAGGTCTGTTACTATCTATGAACAACATACTAAAAATCTACAAAAATGTATTTTGCGGAAAGTGGTGTAATTAATTTACTTTTGGGAGTAAAAGTTAGGTTATCTGAGTTGTTTTCCCTTATTTGGCAAAGTTGAGAAGAATTAAATCATACAAAAATGTTATATATTTTTTTTAAAACAGTTGTAACAATAAGATATCACACATAATTTACGCAAATTTAAAAGAAATTCATTACAAATTAATCACTTTCCTCTCTCAAAATTTGTATATTTTAATAAAGATATAGACCAATTGTGTTCTGCTATGTTATAATCCAAGATTCTTATTCTCCAATAACAGTGTTAGTGTATAACATACAATTGGTAAACAGTACTTAATAAATCTAACCATTTTGGCACACTCTTGCTTAGTATTTAAAAGAATTCCGTCACTGACTGTGTCTAAGGCACCAACAGTTCATTTTTTGTTGGGTGGGGGATGAAGTTTTTTTTCTCTCGAAAAACATGAAAAACTTTTTTTTTCCTTTCTTTTTTTGCAAGACTTAATTTTTTTTAAATAAAATTGAGAATGGAAATTGAATGTATTTATTTTCTCCAACCTTATATAGAAAACAAGTATATTTTTTTTCAGTTTTCTTTTGAAACAAACATTTTTCAAAAGATTTAGAATCCACAAATGTATTTCATAAAAGAAGATGCATGGTGAGTGTTGAATGATTTTAATGTTGAATATTTTTCAAAGTTTAAAATTTCTGGCTCCTGGAGGCTAATAGCTGATCACGCTATTCTTAACTATCTCAGTACTGGCAGATCATCCAAATAAACCTTAAGCTTTGCAAGCTTTTTTAGATGTAACTATGAATCTTACTTTTTGCTTTGGGTGCTAATCGGATCTGCACTGATCTATATTTTGGTCTGGGTCAACATGATTTATTCGTTAGCTGTAATTAGCTTTGAACTAGCTATAAGTACTCAGTGTCTTTTTGTAAGTTGTTTCCATGCTCCATGCCTATCTTTTGAGTCGAGACCATTCCAACTGATTTTTACAATTTGTTCTTATGTTGAACTTTTTCAACACTTTCCCTGATTATGGGCGGGTTTGGTGCTCACAAACGTGTTTAATATTTTACAGTTAGAAGATTTTTCAATAAATCATGGTCTTGACTGTCAAACGATCAAACACATGACTTCCCACATTAGAGACAAGCACAATACCAATAGATCACTGATAGTAGACCTTAAAAGCTAAATGTTGATATCAGTTTGGCCTGAGGTGCATTTTAATTGAAATATTTTTTTGAGTTTGGTTCTAATGAGTCGAATACAGGATAGCATTCAATAGCAATTTTCAAGTACTTTTCTATAATAGAGTATATTTATGAATAAAGGGAGATGTTAGGTATTTGAGGTCAATGAGACAGCATCCCAAACGACTAAAACAAAACACCAAAAGACATAATTTTAGATAAGACAGGACTATCTAAACGATATCTCTGGCTCTAAATCGACCACAGATACCATAAATTTTATTTTATTTTCAGATGTTGAATGATGCATGATCTCTTATAAGTTCTTGGATAGGCTTAAGCTGATCACCATTTATTGAATTAAGTCAATGAAATATAAAAGAAATGAACATTGTAATCCTTTACTT